ATGTAACCTCAATTTCGATTACTCTATTAATAAAGATCACGAGAAATGCCTCACTTAACATTTAAAAAAAAAAAAAAAATTAAATAAAATATATTAAATAAGAATTTATAGATCAATAATATAGTGACTAATGCTTTTAGATCTTTAAATATATATTTTAGTTCAATATTTATAAAAAATAAAAAATATATTATTATTATTTTTTTTTTGCCTCTAATTAGACTGCAAAAGTTGTGTTTATTCATTCAATTTTGGAAAACAGTAGTATAATATACATGATACTATACTAAAGCTAAACTATCTCATAATTGCAAAACATCTGTCAATGAATTTAGATTTGTACATGATCTTTGAATCCTTAATATCAAGACCACCATGTTGCTCACATGATTTAGCTATTTATTAACTATTTCACTACAAAGGAGTAGATTCATTAAGCTATTATTGCGTGGTATTAACTATCTTAGACTTTCTAAATCTAAATTCTCTAGATGTGATTATTGGGAATAAAAAAGTTGCTTCCTTTCAAAACTAGACATCAAAGACTATACATTGAAAGATCTCAGCCACCTATATTCAGACTGTCACCCTGAATGACTCTGTGGTCCTAAGAGGTAAAAAAAATTTTATTTTTTAAGAAAAGAAAAGGGAAATAAAAAGGAGTAATTGAAAGGTTTGTTCTAGTAAATAAAAACCCTCCAATATCAATTTTGGTCCATTGGGATAAATCCTTTACCACCACCTGCAATTGGGCAAACCATTTAATTTTCAATATTTTATTGCAGATTAAGAAAATTCAAGATACTTATAACAAGTCTTATACCTATAAGAAATTATTGCTTAAAACAAGACTTATACCTTAGGGAATTATTGTTTGATGCCTTCTCAGGATAATCAACAATGAAGGAAGCTTGTTACTGAATTGAGATGAGACTTCTTTTAATATTGAAGAGAAAATAAACCAGTCCAAGAGGAGAGGGGAGCACCATAGCACATCTTGACAAAAAGAACATCTCAGTATTTTGCTCTTTTTGCTATAACCTATTGTATCATCGGGTTTTATGTTATACGAGATGGGACATGTGGGACTTACATGTCTTGTTTACATTTCTTGCTACGTGTAGATCAACCAGTCCGAAATTCAAGCCAATCACCATTCAAGGATTCCAGTGTAACTAAAAATTCAGGGTCAAGCTGAGATAGGTAAAATTCCCTAGAAAAATCAGAAAAAAAGTTTATATGATTGAAAAGATAGAAGAGGAGCTTGAGGAAGATGAGAGAAGAATTCCAGAAACTTATGTCAGTCTTTTCTAAAGTCTTGAATCTCTGAGAAAGATACTTTTTCTACAGGTTCTTTTTTCTAATAAAGTTTTCTTGCCTTTAACTTTGTAGGTAGAAGTTTCTTATATATATATATATTTTTTTTCCGTAATCAAACAAGTATCTTGAGAGTTTATTTAATCTTAATAAAGAATACATATTGGTTTAACAACTTCTATACACAAACTTTTTAAATACAATACTTGAATACCTGTCTTAGATAAAGTTATCTCTAGATATGATCTTGGAGATAAATGAGGTTGCTCATTCTCAGGTAGAAGTTTCTTATATTTACTCGCAGAAATACAATAAGTTTATATCAAAGAGAGAAAGAAACAAATGAAGAAGGCTATACTTTTTGATATGTGTGTTGTTAATGAAAGTGTATAGACTTTATTACAAAGAAATATAAAAATTTTCTTGGAACATTTGTTTTTGTGTTGGCAAGAGGATTAGCGAAAAGAGTTTTTTTATTATATAAAAAGTATATTATTATTATTATTTTTTATATTAATAAATATCAGTTTTTTATTTTATATATATTAAGATATAATTATAAGAAAAAACCTATATCTATCACAATGCATAAATTAAATGCTAGCTTATCAATAATCTATCTATCTAAACTATATTAGAAAAGAAAGTTTAAAACTAATATATTGTTTAGATAGTTGTATAACAGATTATGCAATTTGTAGAAAAATAAAACAAAAATAAAGAAAAAAAATTAAATATATATTAATAACTAATAAATATCTTCTCACATCACAACTTTAGCACATGTAGCTATGGGAACAGAAGGTTTGCTATTGTTAACATTAATATATATTTCCTAGTAAATATTTCAAGATTGTAATCTTTGGTTGATATTAATTATCAAACTTAGAAGTTTCAAAGATAAAGTAGGACACAATAGACCTGTGGATTTGTAGTGTAGTGATTAACACCACAGGTCAAATTACAAAATATCAGTTTAACCCTATGTAAAGATAGTTAAATAAAATTAATATGGTATTTAGTGCCATAATCTGTATAACTGCTGTTTCTTACAAGAAACCATTTACATGCTGATCCAGTAAGTGTTGAGATTGTAATTTTTAGAAAAGATGTTGTAGTGTGATAATCATTCAGTTGATGTTATAATAATTGCCAGAAGTTGTAAGGTGTATGAGGTGCCCGCTTTCAGTAAAAGATGGCTTGGTAATCGTTTCCTCATGGTACTTGGTGTCTCTTTTTGCAAGTTTCCGGAAAGGTCTTATTCCAATCCAATAATAGATCAATTCAACAGTTACCTATTCTGAGAAGACAGCCAAAACAGTTATAAGTATTGATAGCTGAAACAATCTATGGACAGTGAGTCTGTGAGATAAGTTTCTTGAACATTCTTGTGTAGCTCTAGAAAGGTGAAAATTAAATAGTATGCCTATCTGCAAATAGTTAGGTTTAGAAGGATTTTCTCTGCAGAGGTTCTATTTGCTTAATAGATACTACTTCCAGTTTCTCTCTTTATATTTCCCCTTAATATATTTCCAGTTAGAAATAGAACCTTCCATATATAATAATGACACTGATGAAGCTTTAGCACATTAGCCTTAATACATATAAATTTCTGGATTTATAGTCAATAGCAACAAGCTGGCATGGAGATAAAATCTGATATAGTCTAATGATATTTAGAATAGTTCATAAGTAACTTCCTTCTGTAATATATAATGTAAAGCATATATGAATTAAATAAATAAATGCATAAGCAAGGCCCAGCTAGTTAAACACAAAAAAAAATTTTTTTAACAATTTTAATATTTATATTTTTTGTTTCAAAAATTTTTTTAAACTTAAAACATTTTTTATTTAATATTTCTATTACTATTTTATTTATAAATCATTACTAGTTATTTATCAATTATTTTTAATTTTTTGATATTAAAAACTCTTAAAAATATTATTTAGAAATTAATTTAAAACCAATATAAAGCTTAAATTTATTATGGATTAATACTATTTGAATAATATTTTGTTAACAATTTTGATACTTTTTTAAAGCTCTATTAAAACATGTAATGAATTAATATTAATTTATTTCATAATCAGAAATAAAGTTGTTTAATATAATGATTATAAATCAAATTCTTGTATTTAATGTTTTTTTATAACAATAATTAATTAATTAATAATAAACATTAAGAAATTACATATTGTTTATAATTATTTTATAACATGCATAATTGTTTTTTTATAGATATTTAAATACAATAATAATAACAATAAATAAATCGATAATATCCTATTTTATACATTATATCAAAGAGAAATTGGTTAAACGACAGCAAAGAAAAAATCGTCAGTATAGCAAGTTACGATGCTATTTTTTTTGCAACTTCGCAAGATAATAAAAAAATACTGCAGAAACCACAAAAAAATCAAATTTATTAAGCTATTATTGAATAATATATTTGGTAACGATTAAAATCAAGATATATGGATGATTAAGGATTTGTTTCTTTTTTAGATAAATAAGTATATGTTTTTTATTGTGATTTAATAAACAAGATGATCATTAATTATATGTTTTTGTAACGAATCAAAAGCTCCCATCTTTTAATGTCGCTTGTGGCGATCACTTTTAATGAAACTTTAAAAAGTACACTCATTTCAAAAGATATTTTACGACGCAAACAATTGTCCCCTTTTTGTGTTTTTAGACATAGTAAATGTAATAAAAAAATTATGTAATGTACTTATTACCTCATGATTATAAATATAGCCTGCTTTATATCACGGGACATGCTAATTTTGTTTAAAGGAACAATCAGCCTCCGTTTTTCACTTTCCATAACTCATTTCACTTTATTGAAAATGAATTCCATCAAAGACGACGAATTTTTGCAGACTTTCATGCAAATCAAACATAATGATATTCTTTTGCCCGGAGAATTGCATCGTCCCACAGATAAAAATACAGGGATATGCGTGTTTGTTCACGGATCTGGATCAAGCAGATTTAGTCCAAGGTAGGAAAAAAGTGAACCTTCCTTATTGGTCAATTCGAATTGTAAGTGAGACGAACAACAAAAAGCTTTATACACGCAAGTTTTGTTGTGGATTCTATCGATTGAATCAAGGGAAAAGTACAGGTCCCATTAAAGGCTGTCATTGTTATTCGAATTCTATATGACTTGGCGTTTTAAAATATTTTGTAAATAAAATAATCGTCTTCTGACATTTTATTTATTTACACGTACCGATGATACAAACATCCTGATACGACGAAATAATTCGATTATCAGGAATCAGTAAGTTCCTCAATTAAAGCAAGAGGCACCCAATTCGTTTACTTTCTTTCAGCCAGAATTACGTAATTAACGTGAAAACCGTAGATACATTGCGAAGGTTCTTCGATCTCGAGGAATAGGCACATTTTTGTTAGACCTTCTCACTCCCGAAGAAGAGCAGATTGATGAGGTGACAAGACATTTGCGTTTCAACATCGGTTAGTGCATATGATTATCAGCTTCTGGACTCACTTTATACTTGTGTGCGGTTGCACGACCATGATTTTTTTTTTTTTTATTAACCACTTGAAATTCATGGTGTACACGTATTTGCGAAAACAGAGATGTTGGCTGAAAGGGTTGTTTCGGTAATTGATCACTTTGGAAAGGGCGAGGACTTGAAGGGGTTGCCCATTGGATTGTTTGGGGTGAGTTTCACTAAACGCACACTCTTCGGAGGGTTGAATCGATTAGGAAATATTACTATTTTCGGAGGTTCATTAAAAAAAGAAAAATTTTTTTTTCTCCCTAGGCTTCGACCGGGGGTGGAGGTAATGTTACTGATTCCTTTTGATTCATCGATTCTCCATTTAATCCTTGATTTCCACCTTAAAAAAAAAGAAAATTCTCTTACTAATTACGGATAATCAATTTTTATTTTACCTAACGTTACTTCGACGCGTTCATTCCAATGATCAACACTGATTTTCGGCGCGTCTGCAAAATTAGCTGCATTACTTGCTGCTCTCAAACGTCCAGATCGAGTCCGATTGGTTATTTCTGGGAAAGTAATTGAATAATGATGTTAGTTAGTTTGTCTGCCTGGTTTGTATTTTGAGTAGACGAGTTATTTGTTTTCTGTGGTTGTTGTTGTTGTTGTTGTTTGTTTTTATGTAT